AGCTATAGGGGCCTATTCGCCTCAATCCTTTGGTCCGAATGGAACCATTCTATCCTTTGTACCGTAACATTGCTATTAGGGTCATCGACCTTCTAAGTTAAAAATCTGACTATATGTCCAAGAATGCCTTTAGCTTCAATCTGGCAGTTGCCGGAGAGGTTCACAAAACTGCATCGGAATCAACCACTTGGTGCGAATGACCATCCAATTGGCTGGGGATCGAAGAGTTGACGCATGACGTTATGCATAGTAAACACGTTTACTACGATATTCAAGAGAGGCAGAAACTCATCAAAGTTGGTAACTCTCGTTTTTCTTAGTCACATCGGCCTTCATGGATACACGCCCGCATGAAAGAACAGCGGTTGAATCTCAGCCAACATGAAAATGCCTTCGTTATATTTTCTAAGACCACCTTAATACCCACAACCGTTGCTAAAGTTTTCTGTGCAATTGCTTCGCTCATTTCTCTGCGGTCGATTAAGCTACATTGATTACACGTCAAAAAATAACCCACTTGTTTTGATCGGACAATCTTATAGCAAAGATCAGAGTAAAAGTTGTTACCTAGGCGAGAACATTCATCGGGGCTGCTATCTCCGTCAACGTATGCAAATATGGAATATTGTGAGCTCCTGAGCTATGTTTTTTAAATTCTCTTGCGGGTAAGGTCCTTTCCGTGAGAGCAATTGACAATGTTACGGAAATGATTTCCTGGACTTACGTGGCTCCAAATTCTTGCTCTTTCGCCGCATATGACGACAACCTCTAGTTATATGTTTAGAAATTTATTCAAACAGTGTGAGTAGGAAATAAGTCTATATTGGGGTGAAAAAGGTGCGTACAACAATCATCCAAATTCAGTAGAATCGAAACATAAACACAATCACACCGAGAAATGTAAGATACTAAGACAATCAGTTTACATAAATTGTTTTTCCTCCGGATTCCCACTTGATCATACCTTCAGTAACCATGCAAATGCGCTCTCTCGACGCAAACAATCATACATAAAATCGAAGTAACACATGATTACAGCTTTAACATATGCAACCTGCCGTGTTGAACGTGTATTTCGCCACCTCCAAAGCACCAT